TATCATTTGGGTTATAGACCATTTTTATTTCGATTTCGCCTTTGGAGAAGTCGAGTCCTCTACCCTGCTGTGCAATTGTAGTCGACTCTATATATGTTGCTAAAGTGTCTCCATAACTAATGATCTTCAAGTCTAATCAACTCAAATTGACATGCATACAATAGAGATCGAGCAACAAAATTTGACCCACCCCAACAATCAATAACTTAGCTCTATTCTATGAAGGAAAATAATTCAGAATTGCCTAGCTTTGGCGTCTTGATTATGAGTATGTTCTTGATGAAATAACTCTTATTTAGAATTTTGCATCCGGGCTTTGAATACGCTGCATTGGGCTTTTATTAAGCATGTGTTTTCTTGCATTGGAGTTTCGGATAAATGTTTTACTTAGAGTAGCCATTTTAAATTGAGATAAATTTTTTTACTTTTGTTTGTGTGTCTCTGTAGGGACTCTTTAGCTGTGGAAAAAGTGTTCGTCAGGGAGATCCACCCTTCACTTTTGCTTTTACTTCGCAGATGATTTTCTAAGCATGCTTTTCTAGAAACATCTAGAGGAGGAAACTCCGATCACTTTTTGTTGAGTAGATTACCGATGATCAGAGCATCTCCAATGCAATATACTATAATTGATATGTTAATTGTAAGTTTTACAATTGAGCATAAAAAAATAAAAAAAAATAAAAATAAAAATAAAAACACTCTCTATTACAATACTACTTGTTATGTCAAATTTACAATATGTAAAAATAAAAATAAAAAAACACTCTCTATTACAATACTACTTGTTATGTCAAATTTACAATATGTTATACTTTATGGTAAATTTTTACACCAAATATAGCATAAGGCAAATTTGACACTTGATTCATATTAAAAACTTATTTTTACAACTTTCAAAGCTTAATTGTTATAGGAAAAATAGATCTAGGGCCCATTTATTTCACTGATTCTAATTTTCAATTCTAATTTTACTACAGTTAAAAGCTCTTACAAAAAGTCACATCTAATTTTTTATGTTACAGTTAAAAACTCTCAAATAAGATCACATCTTAACTCGAATTAAAAACTTGAATAAGCGAACTAAACGAGGGCTTAGTATTTCAAATATTTATTCATTAGAGCACAAAAGAAAATAACATATCCTATTTTGGATGTCAAATGTACGATTGGTATTAACATTAGAATGGGAGATGGTCTTAGTTATGACAAGAACTTGATTAAACTAACTATGTATATAAGATTACTAGCCAAAAAAAATCTAACTATATAAGATTAATTAAGATGAGTTAACTTGGTGGTGCTGTTTGCATCTTTGATGAAAGTTAAGAAGATTTCAATACAAGTAACGCCCGCCCAGTTTCGAGAAGATAAAATATTGGACAAATTCTTAGTTTGACATTGACAATGTCGTGTCCGCCATGTCCATATTTATTTTCTTAATTAGGACATGTAACGCCCGGCCGCAACATCTCTACGCGCATATGCAGAAAGTCAACTGAGAATATTTTAGTCTTCATACACAATTAACTTATTTCCTCCTTATCCCTTTTATAATTGGCTAAGCTATCGACATCTAAACATTGTTCAAACAATATAGCTTGATAAATCAATAATATCGATTGTAGTGGTCTACGTTGGGAAGTTACAAAGAAAAACATGAGAAATGATGATATATACATAATACTTCTTCGTACATGGAATATATGTGTCATCTTCTTCAACTTCGTAAAGCTTATATAAAACATAGGCCATATATCTAGGTAAAGACAACAAGCGTTATTGGCAATGGGTTGCTTTTGGAGCCGCGAAGAACGTGAGAAGAATGAGAAGAAGGAACCGGTACGTGCAAGCGAACGTTATAATTCAGGGCCGGGTGGAGCTACCAACAAAAACAGCAGAACTAGTGCCGGCGGTGCGGGCGGCAACGACGGAAACATGGCTGTTATGACTGGTGCTGCCGCTTTTGTCACGG